TAATTACTAACAGTTTCAAGGCAAACTGAATTGTTACAAAATGTCAACCAGCATAAGTACTTATATTTTTAATTTTGAGGTTATAAATGTTCTCCTTACCTTAATCTATTGTTAGGATCTTTTATTTTATGAGTTTCTTTTAACTATTTAACGTTTGTTTTACCTCCTTTTTTCCTAACCTACCTAACTTCAGAGGCACTGTTGACTTGCATAAGTCTCGTTTTTTCAATACATATCTTAAATCTAAATCTAATGGGACTCTATTAAAAGAATACAGGAATGGCAAATATACATATGTACGAGTACTCGTAAAATAATGTTTTTTTCTCTCTCTAAATGTACAAATATTTCTTTGAAGGAAATAAACGCCTAAATTTTTTTTTGTAACAAATACAAAATGTTCTCAATTAAGGCCAAAAGTAAATTTGTAAAAGGCCTCCAAAGTAGTGGGCACGGCTGGCCTCATCCGCATTTTGAAGCGCACCCGTTATGACGTACACATAACACAGTTTATAATGAACTGAATACATTACCAATTCGATAGCGAAAGTCGTCCGAAATGGCTATAACTTATTAACATAAATGAATCGCAAAAAATCGAAAATAGAACTGTTATATTTATGGTATATAATACGGGATATGAAATGGAATAATAGGACGGCAAGATATATTCATCAACAGTTTTAATAGTCCACAATATCCGTGTGGTAATGGATTAAGAATACAGAGTGTCACCACCCCTATTCATCCCGTGGGTGTCGTAAGAGCCGACTAAGGGAACAAACTACGCAGGACAACAGCACTGCAAAGAGAAGGAAAACTTGACACAAACCCTGTACCAAACTGTCTGGCCAGCGTGGTATAATAGGCCAAAACCTTCTTTCTAAGAAGAGGCCTACGTCTAGCAGTGGACTATTAAAGGCTATTGATGATGATGATGATGGTGACACTCTGTATTCTAAATTCGTCATCCGACCATCATTCTGAGTCGAAAATTATCGGAATTTTCTGCCGGGCGTTTTTTTGGGTAATAATGAGATCAAAATGAATGAACAGAATATTTTACCTAAAAGAATTTAATAAACCCGAAGCAGAAGCCGAAGCGCGTGCTTCCTCCCCCCAGGGCCGCCAACTTGTATTAGTGTGCGTAGACTGTTTGTAACAGTTATTTTTTTAGGATATTTGTATTGCGTACGGAGTTGCCAAAAGCGACATCTATTGCCTGCGTCGCACGGCACGGAATACAAATGTAGTTATTACTTTTGTACGATACTTACGATGAACCTTAACCTTTGAGAGCTGTTTGCATCAAACGTTTAATATGTAATATTCAAACGTTTAATCCCAATAATTTTCTAAGAATGATGGTAGGTATTTCAGTATTCCTTACGATATACACCCACACAAAATAGTAAGTTGTGTATAGGTCTACACAACTTACTATATTGTATATCAACAATGTTCAAAAGAGAAAAAGTAACTCAGATTATGATACAGATCAATAAAATCAATAATAGCATGTATAATGCTCGGTTGTGCAGAAATTGGAAAGGTTAAAATAATATTCCTTTCTCTCTATAATCTCTATTGAAGTACAACAATAGTTCAATAACTTTTGAAAATGTAAGTACAATTTCTTCAAACACAATTTAAGACAAAAGAGGATCAAATAAACAATACTTAAAATACTTATTTCAGATAGATTTCAGGTCTTGCATACCATGATTAGAGAATATATCAGATAAAAAAAATAGTAGTATATTTTTATTGGCAGTCCTATCGCATTTTGTGTGATTTTAGTTTTCATCCAATTCAGATCTTAGCAACAATAAATATGACAACATTACGGTAATATCAGATTTTCTAAAACCTTTTTCAAATAAATTTGGACATGTTTAGCAGAGCCAGCTGAATAATTGCGTTCTATTTTGCAGTTTGGTTGATAAACAAAATCTATCTTTCACCATAAACATACTGTCTTTAAATTCTTCGATCAATTCTTGATTCCTTTAATTTGTAGCTTTGATTCAGTAGTTAGAAACGAAATTGGGCAATTATAAACATTCATTTCTCCGTCGGATTTATTGGTCGTACCAGATTAACTGTAACCGCTAGTAAGATGTAGTATGAAAGCTTCATACAACTTCAGAGGATCACATGTTCTCCTACTTTTATAATTAATATTTTGGCTTGAATAAGTTCAATGAAGTTTTACTCAATCAAATAGAACGATCCTATAAATCATTACCTCACAGGTCCTATCAATCATTGATATCACTGTCAGGGCCTCTCTTCGATCAATTTTTAACTCATCGACTTCTGATCAAGGGAATGAAAGCGCGTGAACCTCATTATCAGTTTGTCTAGGCACAGTCTTATTTATTTATCAACGAAATTTCGTGTGGTGACGGATTAAGAATACAGAGTGTCACCACCCCTATTCATCCCGTGGGTGTCGTAAGAGGAGACTTAGGGAGCGAACTACGCCGGACAACAGCACTGCAGAGAGATGGAAAACTTGACACAAACCCTATACCAACCCGTCTGGCCAGCGTGGTATAGTAGGCCAAAACCTCCTTTCTAAGGAGAGGCCTATGTCCAGCAGTGGACTGTTAAAGGTTGTTGATGTGATGATTCTTATTTATCGATAGATTGTGGAGCCGCAATATTCTTCAATATTTACATTTACCACAATTTCACAAATCTAAATTTCTATCTAAATCTAAATTTATGTTTCAGCACTTATGTTTAACAAGTGTTTATAACTAAATAAATTTGAGAATACTTAATATAGGATTTCTACCATCATTAATATTGGATCATGTTTGTTGTGTACATCAATAGATAATTTTTTACGACTTACTCACTTAATGGTTGATATTATTATAGTCATTAATTTTTACGAATATAATAATATCAACCATTCTGGATCTGGATATTTTCTATCCTTTGGTGTCATTAGATACTATAATCCCGAATCCGGCTAGAAATATTATAATAAAATTCTTTTTCTTTTTTTTTTTTTTTTAAAAAAGACAACTCCCGCATTAGGAATATATCCTGTGTCGCGGGGGACTTTACAAACATACATGAAACGGACACAAAGAACCCAGACTCAGAACAACAATTTGTGGATCACACAAAGTGTCGTCCCATGTGGGGTTTGAACCCACAACACTCGGTGCAGTAGGAAGCGGCGTGGCGACCACTTAAACCACTGCGCCATCTGTGCAGTCTAAAGTTAAGTTAAGTATATCTTGACAAATGTAATTTTGGATTATATTTCTTTAAGCAAAATTCTGAAATAACTATTCTTGACATCTTCGAATTCTTAATCTTGAAGATTTCAGGAATTTTTTATCTAGTAGTAGGCTTATACTTTTTCACAACAACAGTAATTTCAAAAAAACCCTATGTTATCAAATTAGTTCTATCTCTAACTTAAAGTTCGTCAGTATAGTTTAACGTAAAAGCTGACCTATTCCTAACTATGTATGCTCATTAGAACCGGCTCCGTAGCAGCACAGCTGAGCAGACAAGCGAGATCTTAGTTGTTGTTTGTTGTCAACTTTTTCTTTTAACTATTATACATTAATTAGTTTGTTATTGCCTTTCTATCTTACATATCTTCACTTTTAATATACTTCCAGTGTTTCTATATTTCATTTTAAAAGATTAAATTATATTCGCTTAATCCGTTTCAAAAACAAGCATGAAAATGTCGAAATAAATATGAATTAAAAGATGCAGTGCAATTGAAATATGACACATTCTGGACTTCTCACTTTAATCTCAACCAAATAATGTATAATAAATTAAACAGTGCAATACAATTTCAAGAAGATATGTGTATGTATGATCATGATTATGAAAAAAAAAATTCAATGAAATCAGGATGTAATAGTTTGAAATTTAATGGCATACTTCACGTTTCGGGACAGCAGATCCAGTATTGCGATCATAAAAACTTTATGAAAGAGAAATGTACATAACAGTTATTAAACGATCAAAAATGTGCGCTGTCATCTCTGATGCAATACGAGTCATAACTCAACCGTTTTGTTATTTCGTGGTACCATTACAAAGCCACTTTCTATTATTCAGTAAAACGTATCATGAAAACCACTATTAGCTTCAAATACGTAATACTATCTACACGTTGTAATTACAAGCAATAGATTTTTGTTCGTTTTGTTTTCAGTTACGGAAACTTTTTTATACTCGACGACTTAATGACCGCTACTGACGATTAAAAGTTGCCCATCTGTAAGCTACCGTCTCGCTAACCGGCTTCACTCTCAATGACGATGAAATTAGACTAAAATACGTGAAACTCAGTCTATAGAAAGCGGTATATCAATGTATATATTATAACCTGTTTTTGTTTACCACTTAAAGAGAATCGTCTAGCGATAACTCTGTATTAATTTAGAACGTGCATATTTATAAATAAACATGATTTAAGAGAGAGAGTCGTTTTACACTTCCATGTTAAAAAATCTTTATTACCGGATCTGTGAGATATGTTAGAAGATTTTAATTTATTATAATTAGATTTTCATTATAATTTAAATATTATCAACTTTTTTAAAAATTTAAAGTATCTCACAAATGCAACCATACGAATTTTAAAATTTATAATAATCATTGCATACTTGAGAATTGCTAACTACTTAATTTGACTGGTTAATACTGTTTTTGTTTTCTTATAATATCGCCTCAAGTGACCACAGATATTATCAATCATTGAATGAAAGTGAGTTGTAATATTAGTAGTAATACTAGTTCGTTCGTTTTATACCTTTGACGAGACAAGGAGAGGCTACAACGATTTTTCGAATAATTTCGATTTCTGTTTCAAATCAACTCCAATAAAACATAAATACACATCATAATAAGTTTTTTATTTAACAAATAGAAATAAATTAATGGCAATAAATTAAAATAAATAAACTGATTTGTACAACAGAAGTTTTTTCCTAAGAGATTTTAGGCTAAGTTTAACTTGAGCGTGAATAACCGCTGTAGGCCATGTTTTGAGCATCATCCATGTTCTTGTTCCAGTCAGAACCGTAGCCGGAATACCCGTGGCCGGACTCATGGCTGACGTGGTCTACTTGTACTGGATGATGGGATTCATGGTGGTGAGGGTGAGGAACGACTTCGTATGTGGTCTTAGTGTGCTCCTGTTTGAGACAGTAGGCGACGAAGAGGATAGCACCCAGGACCAATGCGATCTTGGCAGTAGCAAGGGCCTTCAGAGCGATGAGCTTGACGATGAAAAGTTTGCCAAACAAAATCTTTGCGGCTAAAAGACCGATAAGGCCCATGCCACCACCCTTCTTCTTGCCACGGCCTGGAAAATAAAAATGTTTTAATGAGTGTTTCACAAATGTTTAGGTGGTTTTAAAAATATTATGTTACTACACATAACAATGTTTTAGTCAAAGTACTTAATTGCTTGTGCATTATTCAATACCATTATAATTATGACAACATGATAGCATACGATTTAAAGCAACAACGATTTTAAAATTTCCTTTTATTTTCTATTCTACTGTCGCTATTTTGAAATAAAATTTAATGAGTTATATCAAAGTATTAAATCAAAAGTTCAAAACTATAATTTGATATTTAGGTTTTAAATAAACCGGGCATTTACCTTCTTCGAGTGATCTTTGGATAGATTGCTTGTCAGAATCGTTCATCTTGACTTCAAGAGCATGAGTCTCAAAGAGTCCAACGACGCCATCAACGAGCCTATAGTTGACCTCAGCATCCCTTGCACTTGGATCGACGGGCAAAGCATCGTATCTCTTTGAGGACCTTGGTTCCGGCTCACCCTTGAAGACTACTCCATCGACAACCGTTATGCTTCTTGATGCTCTCAAATTGTCCACGATTCGGAGCATTTTTTCCTGTAATTCAAAAGTAAGAAACTTGGTAAGTTCATGTTTATCAAACATTTTTAAACTTAACACTTTTTTAATTATCATATTATTAATTTCTTAGTCCATTATATTTAGAGTTTAAATGCACTTATTTTTTTAAATGAAGAGTCCACAGAATTTTGATTCCACAACACACATCACTTTCACTTTATTAATGAAAATTATTGACCTTAACACATAAAATGTAATCTCCTTTGCAGTCCTTCACGAAGTTGATTGCCGTTTCTAATGTATTGTCACTGTCTTCTGCTGAGACAAAAGCCGTAGCGGCCAACACCACGAGGAAAAGCTTCATTTTTGTTTTAAATATTTTTTAAATTATTTTTTTGTATTAATTTTCCGACATCTAGTGATGTCAAGTAATGTTTGGCGAGCCGCTTGGACTGCTATACAGTTTTATCATATTCCTCCCCACCTGTTTCCTATGTGAAGCACGTTAGACCATCTGGGTTATAGTAAAAGTTAATGAATTTCGAACTGTATATCTTAAGTTTTAGAGTATAATTTTAGATGTAGTCTTCACATGAGGGTTCGTTGTATTCTTAGGGTCAGGTATTTTAAATGGTTGGTTGTAAATATTGCTATTTTGTTTATAATTTACATAAAATCAGTATATATTATGTGGGTCATCGATAATGTTCTATGAATAAATTAATATATATTGAGTATCACCTTTTTTTTTCACTTCCGAATAGCTTTGGTTCAATGAATGAATTTTATGATCTTTTTTTACGATTCTTTTAATAAAGTTTAATTACAATATTGCTGTTTGATGAATTGAATGAGATAATTACCGATGATGTATAAATGTTTTTAAATATAATTTATTACATACTTTTTGTGTAATTTTGTGTCAACTTGATTTTTAAAACAATCCAATCACAATCCTTAATAATACTGCAAAATCATAGCCGTTAGATTATTATATTTGGTTTTATTTTATTATTTAATTACATAAGAGGTAATGCTGTATTCATCCAGATATAGCGTAAAAATAGATTTTGAAACAAAGAATTTCTTATAATCCTTTTCTTCTTTATGAGGATATCTTTTAATAATTTCTGACTTTTAGATCTTCTGAGTGTCTTTGGTATAAAACGCGTTTAATTTGATCCACGACAATCCTCCCGTTTACCAATTATTCGTTTACTTAGTCAATTTTTAAGTTCAATTTCTTCTAAATTCATCTTTTTCGTTTTTTTCAGAAATTTATTTATTTCTTCTAAATAACCTTAAATACTTTTATATAACATATTGCATAACGGTTTATGACACTAGAGAAATGTGTTAATTTTTTCACTAATTGAATACAACAAAACCATAAATATGCAGAAATAATGATCTCCATTAATTTAAATGTTAACTTTTTAATTTTATTTATACCATCAAAAGCATATCTTATAATTATAGAATTACAATTTCTATTTAAATGAGGGATATAAAACTATTCATTCGGTAATGTTTTAAATTCATTTGAGAGAAGTAGTATACCACGGTTGGGCGCGGGTGGTACACCAGCTTGATTGGATTTATGGTAACTTCTTCATTTGTATCTATATCCTATTTACTCACTAGAGTATTAAGGATTTAGCTGTAAATATCCCGTTCCGTAGAAAGCAGTAAAAACATAGTTGTGGAGACTCTCGTTTGTGAATACTCTAGTTATAACGATGGTGGATTTGGTCATTGATTTGATGGTAACACGAACAGTTTAAAGAAAGTTTTTTTTAAACTAGTTCGAGGTTATTTGTGAATTTTGTTTTTTGTTTTGTTTAAAAAAGACAACTCCCGCACTAGGAATAAATCCTGTGTCGCGGGGGACTTTACAAACATACATGAAACGGGCACACAGGACACCCAGACTCAGAACAACAGTTTGTGGATCACACAAAGTGTCGTCCCATGTGGGGATCGGACCCACAACACTCAGCGTAGTAGTAAGCGGCGTGGCGACTACGCCACCCATGCAGTCAAGTAATCACACGTATTTGTTTACTTATATGTATCTTAGAAAAACACTTTCAGCTTTTCTTTCAGGTCAGCTCCAACAGCATACTGATGATGATGGCGAGTAGACTAGATTGTCTATATATGACTCATTGCATCGAGTTTTCAGCCGCGCCTGTTACTGCGAGGCAATGAGTCTAACCTTAATTTATAAAACATACTAATATGGCTGTAAGTTCATATTATTACTAACATCTCTGAGTCTTAGTTACTAAAATAAATAACTTAATAATAATAACATAACCACCAGCCGTGTTCAGCACATAATAATATATATTCTCTCTAGTATGTTATATATTCACCTTAGTCCAAGCCCAACAAATAGATACTACATATGTATAATTATCACTTTTTATAGTTATGTATATACTACTTTGAGTTCGTCTACTTTTGTATTACCAAATACACCATCATCATCATCAACAGCCTTTAATAGTCCACTGCTAAACATAGGCCTAGAAAGGAGGTTTTACCCTACTATACCACGCTGGCCAGACGGGTTGGTATAGGCTTTGTGTCAAGTTTTCCTTCTCTCTGCAGTGCTGTTGTCCTGCGTAGTTTGTTCCCTTAGTCGCCTCTTACGACACTCACGGGATGAATAGGGGTGGTGACATTCTGTATTCTTAATCCGTCACCACACGGACATACACACCAAATACACCAGCCACTACCCAATACCTCCTCCCCTTCATGTTTTCTTTCCATACCACGGTTGCCTGTAAGAGATTGCCTCTGCGCGATAAGGCCGCCATTTATATTTACCTATTTTAAGATGAACGATTAAAAATAAAGAATTTTAATCGTTCACAAAGATAAAGACAAGAACTATTAAATTAGATTTCTTGTAAAGATAAGAAAATGGCTATAAGAGGTGAAACCTATTTAATGTTAATTAAATAAGTACCAAAATTTGTAAGAATAGTGTAAAAGGAGTACCAAGTATTTTACAATTGCAGTAGGTATTTGGTCAATTAAATAATCCCAAGCTCAATTAAAAATTTGGTGAAATTAGGTATTTTTGTGGCCATATTCTTGCGACTTACGACGATAAGTAGGATTAGGGTAAACCTTTTTATTTATACCATTTTACTTTATACAGAACATGTTACACAATAACTGTTACTTTTTAGTTTTGACATTACCATTAAAATTTCCTTTTATAAAAAGGTGTATGCCTATTTTATTTCATTTTGTTTCCCGCTTTGCTAAGGAGATAAATAAATTTATTACAGTTCCAACACCTCCAATTTTTTTCTGATTAATTTCGTTGCTGCTTGCAAAACAATTTAATTTTGTTCCTGGTACTTCAAGAGTGTGTCGGGACTCAGTTTGTTCGTGGGTCACTGCTGCTGATCCTGGTGTACAGGAGTTACAATGGTGGGAGTGTCAAAGACATTAGTCCCAAAAAAAACAATTAACAAGGTTTGGTAAATAATTTCAATTACTTAATTACTTTCATCATCAATTAAAAGTCAATAAACTCAATATTGTTGGATATTTTCAATTAAAAGACAAACAAAAACAATCAAATATAATAAAAATAAAATGTTACCTACATTAAAAGTATTAACAAATAATTTAAATGAATAAATTACTTTCGTCAGCAATCAAGAGTCAATAAACCCGACATTTTTGGATGTTTTCAGTTAAAATAAACAAAAACAATCTCATCTAATCTCTAGAATATTTAAATCACTCTAGTTATTATGTGCGTTCAAATAAATGCTATTATCAACAAGATTACGAAATAAAATAAAAATGTAGTTTTAAAAGAATAATTTATTGTTCAAACGTCATTATAGAAAGTATATACAGAAGTATGACTATCAATTATGTATGGCTACTATACATAATATTAGGTAATTATAAAAGCTAAGGAAAGCGAACCAGTCTCTTTATATATCTATCGATTAATCGATTTGTAATCTATTAAGAATTACGACTCAAACATATTTTCTAATTTTGGTTATGGCAGTACTTCGAACAGTTTTGTCATGCAAAATATCTTATAATATAAACAATTTTATATGTTATTAGTTTTAAAAAACCACGAGTTCTAAACTATCATTCTGATGGCAGAGTGACTTTAGAAATAAAAACAATAATTTTGATATTATTTTTATCTCAAAGCTTGCGCAAAACTTTTACCACTAAATGGTCATCCTCTTTAATATAGATTGTTCAAATTACTAAATTACAGTGCCACTTTTTATTCATACTCTAGAGTACATTACTACACAGATGGCGTAGTGGTTTAAGCGGTCACCACGCCGTTTCCTACTTCGCTGAGTGTTGTGTGTTCGATCCCCACATGGAACAACACTTTGTGTTATCCAAAAATTGTTGTGCTGAGTCTGAGCGTTCCTTGTGTCCGTTTCATGTGTGTTTGTAAAGTCCCTCCTGACCCAGGATAAACTCCTAATGTCTTAAAAAAAAGAATTAAAAAAGAACTTATAAAATGAAAAAGTCGTATTTATAATTTTGATTCATTTATTTATTTAATAAACTTACAACTATTATTACTAATTATTGACAATGCAATAGCGAAGCAAATAAAGCGATTTTTGTATGATATATATTTTTTAATAACATACTATGAAAGGTGTGATCTTAAGGATATAATGTAGTCCGACTATACGAAGTGTCACCACCTCTATTCTTCCCATCGGAGTCGTAAGAGGTAACTAAGGGGATGAACTCTACAGGAGAACCGCACTGCAAAGAGAAGGAAAACTTCACACAAACTCTATACTAATCTGTTTTATCAGCGTGGTATAGTAGGCCAAAACCTGCTTTCTAGAGGTCTACATTCAACAGTTGACTCTTAAAGGCTGTTGATGATGATGATGATTACTAATATAATAAAATCAATAATGAGAGATATATGAGACTTAAACCTAGGAACCTGCAAATCAAAGTGATTTCGAAAAGCCCGAGTTTTTTAACTAAACACTATCTATGGTTTCACATTTAAGGTACAAATTTTAAATCAGATGTAGGTAGACAGCAGCGGTAGGCAGTACTGCGGCCTGTAGTTGCCGTCGCCTGAGATGCAAACCGTCTCTGTTTTGATACCGGCTGCAGACCACACAACGCGTGGTGAAGGCCTTAGTTGTTTCTATAACTTCTTGCAAGATAGAATGTTGATCAATGCTAACCATAGTATTTTAATACGACTTTTTAAGAAGAGGAAAATTATGACTTGTTGTTACGTGTTCTTACATATATATATTTTTAATTCTAGAAATTCTAAGAATTTATTTATGACTAGCTGAGACCCGCGGTGTT